AGATACTGTAAGTCAGAATATATGAGATACCGACTTCATTTACAAGAGTTTATGGCTTTTATAGTAGTTGCTTATCATGCAGTTCAAGTTGATATCATCCATCTACAAAATCCAGTAAAGTGCAACATTATCCTTAAACGGAATGGGATGCATCCGTTTTTAACTTGAACAATATCATCGTTAACAAGATTTATGAGTGTACTGTATGATTCTAGTTGTTGCGCCATGAACCTTATTTTTAGAAGAAATAAGAGTATATTATAGCATTTCGCTGCTTTTTATGCTGTTGAAGTCTATTTTCGTGCTTAGGCAAAATGTCTAGAATAGCGCAATGTTTTTCTTCATTACATCTATTGATCATTTAATTCGTTGTGAACTTCATTTTAGAATACCGTAAGTCAAGATACACAAGATATCGACTTCATTTACAAGAGTTTATGGCTTGTACAGTAGTTGTTTCATCATGCTGTTCAAGTTGATATCATCCACCTACAAAATCCAATAAGGTGCAATTTTATCCTACGGAATGCATCCGTTTTTAACTTGAACAATATCATCGTTAACAAGATTTATGACTGTACTGTATGATTCTAGTTGTTGCGCCATTAACCTTATTTTTAGAAGAAATAAGAGTATATTATAGCATTTCGCAGCTTTTTTATGCTGTTGAAGTCTATTTTCGTACTTAGGCAAAATGTATAGTGTAACGTTTTTCTTTATTACAACTATTGATCATTTAATGCGTTGTGAACTTCATTTTAGAATACCGTAAGTCAGGATACACGAGATATCGACTCCATTTACAAAAATTGATGGCTTTTACAGTAGTTGCTTTATCATGTTGTTTACGTTGATATCATCTATCTACAAAATTGAGTAAAAGTGCAATTTTATCCTTATTATTATCGATCGTTCAATCTGTGGCAAATCTTACCTGTTTCATAGGAAGTCAAGATATCCTAACTTGCTGAGCGCTAACTGGCAGTAACTTATTCTCTCTATATGGCAGATGTCTAATCCAGGTATCTACTAAACTGCGGTGTGTAAATGTCTACTATTAACTACGAATGCATTTGCATTTTCTTGATGGTGTCTTGCGCACTTTCCTTCTTACAGTGAATCATCTAGACGTCCAATAAGGTACTATTAGCCTATTGAACGCCCTTATGTTATGTTATCATCAACACAGCAGCAATCCTCCCAACAAGGGGAATCTGGGAAATTAAAGTTGATTTTATTTCCTTACTGATTGAAAGAATTGGATGAAACAAAATTAAACAGGAAAATGTCGACGTACATTGAATGGTATAGGTACGATTGCTATCAACAGAATAGCGTTTGCGGTTATTAAAATTGACAGTAATTGGATTGTACATGGGTTGGATGAATAACAATAAGATTGCAAACTTTGAATCATTTGCTCAACACATGCGATCTAAATCGTCCTTTAATGTGAGCAATTGATTTCCTTTTAACCCAAGTCATACTGTATTACGAAGAATAAGTGGAAGCCAATATCCGCCATTGACAGTGACGATAACTGGCATTTTTGCTACTTTTGCTACATTAATAATAAAAGTTTCAATTGGCTAGCGCTAGATTGCTTACTATAGGGTATTGTTATATAAATTACTATGTTCCTTAATTGATTCTTTTGGATTTTCTATTAATTCGGTAATGGATTGCCTTACGAAATAGATACCATTTACAATACCATCAGACTAGCAAGAATTATATACCATATGATTGTAGCTGTATAATAAGCGTTTAGGACATTGGAAATTGGTAAAGAGCTGCATACCTTCCAGTTTGGAAATGATACAACTGTCTCTCAATATCACCTAACAAAGAACTTGCTCCAATACGGAATAGATTGGGTTGTGTCCATTCGTCTCCTAGCTCTTCCTTCATCAGAGCAAGCCAACTTAAGCAATCTTTAGCGCTTCTAATCCCTCCGGCTGGCTTAAATCCGACCTTGTATCCAGTACGTTGGTAAAAATCACGTATTGCCCTGATCATGACAAGAGCAACTGGGAATGTGGCATTCACTGCTTCTTTGCCTGTCGATGTTTTAATAAAAGTTGAGCCAGCCATCATACTGACAAGGCTTGCTTTATACACATTGGTCAACGTTCCTAAGTGTCCCGTAGCAATAATCGTTTTTAACAGGGCATTACCACACGCTTTTTTGCAGGCAGCTACTTCATCATATAAAGCTTGCCAATTGCCTGATAATACATAGGATCGAGTGATGACAATATCGATTTCACTTGCACCAGCTTCGACTGCGTATTTGATTTCATCTAGGCGTTGAGGAAGAGGTGTTTGACCATCAGGAAATCCAGCTGCTACAGAAGCAATGGGCACTTGTGAGTGATTATTCTTATTAGCGGTAACAGCATCCTTGACTCGAGACGAGTAGACACATACCGCTCCGGTAGTAATTTCTGAAAAGTAGAACATAGTTTTGAGTTTCATTAATTTATTTTGATCAACACAAGTTATATGCTAATGATCAAATATGCATGATAAACATTCATGATGAAATTGGTAGCATGTTGATGTAAAAAATGCAATTCTTCAAGTCGCTATGATAGCAAAATTTCTTAGTTACAACACAATTCGTCAAATGATAGCCAGCATTAACAAACAACCAATTACAGTGCCGAAGGGAATGAGTAGAAAGAGTCTAAAAATGCAAATCTTGAAATAATAAGAGTTAAAGCAAGCATTACCAAGTTGATTGAACCGAGTGGCACTTTTCAAATGATTGTAAAACAATAAAACTACTGAAGGAGATGCTGTAAGTAGAATGAGTCTAAAAATGTAATTGATGAAATGATAATAGTTCAGGCAAGGATTGCAAAGTTGAATCGATCGCCACTCTTCAATCATTTAACAGCAAAACAAACGAAGAAAATGAGTCGAGTGAGTTTCAAAATGCAATTCTTGAAACGATGCGAGTAAAGTAAAGAATGGCAAAGTTGAACCGATCGCTACTCTTCAACCACGTAACAACAAACTAGCGAAGAAAATGAATCAAGTGAGTTTCAAAATTGCAATTTTTGAAACGATGAAAGTAAGGCAGAGCATTACAAAGTTAACCCCGATTGCCACTCTTCAACTACGCCATAATAAGCTAGCGAAGAAAATGAGCGATTTTCAAAATGCAATGGTTGAAATGATGAGAGCAAGGCAAGCATTGCAAAGTTGGCAAACTACCGAAGAAAACGAGCGATTTTCAAAATGCAATAGCTAAAATGATGAGAGCAAGGCAAGCATTGCAAAGTGGGCAAACTACCGAAGAAAACGAGCGATTTTCAAAATGCAATGGTTGAAATGATGAGAGCAAGGCTTGCATTGCAAAGTTGGCAAACTACCGAAGAAAACGAGCGATTTTCAAAATGCAATAGCTAAAATGATGAGAGCAAGGCAAGCATTGCAAAGTGGGCAAACTACCGAAGAAAACGAGCGATTTTCAAAATGCAATGGTTGAAATGATGAGAGCAAGGCTTGCATTGCAAAGTTGGCAAACTACCGAAGAAAATGAGCGATTTTCAAAATGCAATAGCTAAAATGATGAGAGCAAGGCAAGCATTGCAAAGTGGGCAAACCACCGAAGAAAACGAGCGATTTTCAAAATGCAATAGCTGAAATGATGAGAGCAAGGCAAAGTTCACTGGCATCCTATCAAGGACTGCAATGTTGAACCCATCGCCACTCTTCAACTGCGCGATGTTTGAAATGATGAAAATAAGGGAAGAATAACAGAGATTTCGAATCTATTTATCCGATAGACAATCTTACTCAAGTCTTTTAATTGGAGGCTTTCAAGAACGTCTTGACGGATAGGATTATTGGCCTTGAAACAGAGACGTGATACATTCGTTTCCGTATCATCACCAGACAAGGTGGTTAAATCTAAGCAAGTAACAGCTCTTAAAAACCAAGCTGCTTGCCAATCTTTCTTGACAGATCGTCGCTTGAGATGGGTTGCTGCTCTCCTCTGCACTGCTGGTAAGTTAACACGCGACGATTCAACCCATGCCAGATCCAGAGGTTGGATTACATTCCGTTGGCTGTCTACCATCGTTCAATTTGGTTATTGTAGCTAGAAATTCATTCAAATCCAATCGATCAAGATTGCCTAAAGCAAGGAATAGCAGCAATGCCGGACAGCAAATGGGCTCCAACGGGTTCCAGTACGGTACCAGTTGGGACTGAAGAGTGACAAATGATGCAAAAGTGACGCAAACCCGACACTCGTGGCTATACACGCTTCATACGCCTACTGTGTCACTGTCGCTTTAGGCTTGACGTGGTGCAATGGTGGGTAGGTCAGTGAAAGGAGAGCGTACCGCGCCGGCGCAGTATCGATGGCATGACGGCCAATGGGCCACGACGATCCTCGCGTGTTGCTTCTTTTACTGCGACATCAATTTTGCTCGGTGTAGAACTTCATGGCTCGCATTCACCGTATCGTGTTCTTTACTGTACTGTAGAAGGAAATACAACATGGCGATTGAAGTATCGATGGATAGATGACATGATGGTCAATGGACAACGACGATCATCGCGTCTTGCTTCCTTTATTGCGACATCGATTTTGCTCGTATCGCTTGCAGTCACCGTATCGTGTTCTTGCTGTACTGTAGAAGGGAATACAACATGGCGATTTAAGCGTGATATTGGACGTACACTACATCAGTTCAGTTTTGCACTTCTGCAGGTGTCTCCCATTTCTTACTGAATTCAACAACAAAATGGCAGACATCGAGTACAAGACTGAACTGATTGAGTAGTCCAGTTTGGTGTACAGTGTAGACTGTACATGATGATATCGTTGTCCGTTGACTCAAAAGCACTTTCCATCCACCAGCATGTTGCAACAAGGGCGTCGGAGCCATGCAAAATTCATGTCACCAGCGCATCTGCCAACACCACCAACACGCCCACGTGTCGTACCGTATCGAATACGGTACGACTGATAGGCAGATTGCACATACAGTACTGCACGCACGGTACTGTACACGGAGTACAGAGATCAACTACACGCACACTACGTACGAAATCATGTGTTCACCGATAAACAGCATGCAAGCCAATAGAAACAGGCGGACGACTGAAGCGTGCGTCCACGTGGAAAAATACAAATAATAACCAGGTGGTCAAGATGGTCAGCGATAACCGACACCTTGTTGTGCTTAGTAATAATAAATAAAAAAACAGTTTATTTCCCATCAATTTTCCATCGGCAAGGCGAATACGCAATGCAATAGTGACCACTATGATTGATTAAGTGGACAGTCGATGAGAAAATAGTAAGCAAGAATCAATCGTCTGCTAGTCATCACGTACAGACACAGACTTGTGGTGTTTCCTCCGTCACGTCAACATGACAATAGAGGATATTATAGGCCACGGGCGATGCTTTCCGTATCATTACAACGCTCATGCTGAGTTGGGGTAATCACCCGACATAAACCAACAGTCTACAGTATAGAAAATACTTTGCCCATGGGCTGTAGCCATGGCCCACCACCAGTCAAGGTCACGGCGGGACGTAGTAGGGCTCTACCACTGCGCATGTCTAGTGGTGTGGCCACCACAGTTCTTATTGTGTACATAGGCTCGACTCCGTCAGCAGCTTGATGCGGATCCTTCAGACGTACAGACGTCGGACTTCCAGCCTGCAACGTTGGAGGTAGAATCGCTTTGGCAAGCTTGCCATACTTCCATCGAAGTCTCCAGGTTGCAACTGGATCATCGCTCTATTTCTCTTTAATTCATTATCATTGCAGTATGGCTTCTACGGCAGCTTCCGTTGTTCAAACGGTAACTTCTAAAACCGAGGAGAATAATACAACCAAAGAATCACTCAAGCCAAGTAAACCGACTGTTAGTCAAATCTTCAAGACGTTAGAGTATGGCCCTGCTCCAGAATCGCCCGATGTAGCCTACGCTTGGTTAGATGATCATCACAGATCTTTTGGTCATTTTATTGATGGAAAATGGCTTAATCCCGAAGATCGGAAACGTTACGATTCACGATGCCCTGCTACAGGTGATATTATCCAGCTTAATATTAACCATCAAACGATGACATTTTCAACTGGATACCCCATTATTAGTTGGAGTCTATCATAACATGTACTGCTGTAGGAATGGCACAAAAGGGTTCGGCTTGCCAAGGGATTTAGTCCATGGCGATATGCAGATATCCTGATGCTATCTTGACATGACACTGTACCTAAATATCCAAACATGACATCGCCACAGTGCTATACAAACACCATGAGGTAAATCATGCATGATACAGTTATGAATCACAACGGTAAGAGAAATTCTTATAGCTACTTGAGGCAATAATTTGCTACGAGCAAGCCGTGATCAAATTTCATCCAAGAAGCTCCAGTAGACGCAAGCAATCCATCATACAGTGGCAACCGATGACTCGACTGATTTCTCTCTAAACTAAAACGTACAGTGTACATTGAACCAAATTGCGAAATAGACGTTTCTACTGCATAGATAATTCAAGATGCCTACATTGTCCTACACTATCGTCACTATACGAATAGACATTGTATCTCATAATTATACTAATCGTGCCGTAGTAGACACTCTACTACAGGACGAAAAAGAAATAGTTGGCAACAATCTCTTGACTAGATTCAGGTCTTTCATCAAAGAAAGGAAAGGAAAAGTTACTTTGCACGCACAATCCATCGCATAGGATAGACTGCATACATACACTCTTATAGAAGAAATGTATCAAACTGTAGAAAGCGATTAAATTTATAAAGGCCGTCAAATCAATCGACTGCTTTGCTTGAATTTAATTTTATTCAGTAGTCCCTGGCTATACTAGTCGATGAGTAGAGCTACCCATAGAGTTAAGTAAGTTTCTTAACTCTATGGATTAACCCTATGAATGCAGCATTTACACATCGATAGTACAGTACTGTTGCATCAATGGATGTCTACTTGAGAAACAAGCCTCGGGTGTACAGTATATGTACAGTAAACTACAGATCAATCTGTAGTTTAGTATCCAGACAACTCAGCTATTAGCAAACTTTCAATAAGTATATGTGGTCCTAGATCAATTTTTTTTTTTCGGCAATTTCCATTAATTGATACCAATAGAACTATGTGACCTTAGAGGAAGCTATTATAATGAGTAAAAGTTGAAAAGTACTACAAATACGATGCAATCTTGGTTGATCATTTCTAGATCTGTCAATGTACAAATAATAGTCACTCGACGTTACTAATTCATGGTCAACTTACCATAATAGTTGTCATTCCATTCATTATTATCCACACTATCTTCGTTTTAATGACTGTATTCAACGAGCGCTAAATTGATTGTATTTTAGAATTAATATAATTATGTATGTTAACTTGAAATAGGAGAAAAGTTGGCATCAACTGTGCAAGGTAACCAAGAAGATGTTGAAGTAGCTGTTTCTGCTGCTCGAAAAGCGTTCGTGAAATGGAGTGCTTTACCTGCACACGTCCGGGCGCGCCATTTATACTCGGTTGCAAGGCATGTTCAAAAGCATATGAGATTGTTCGCCGTTATTGAGAGTCTCGATAACGGTAAACCGATCAGAGAGACTCGCGATTGCGATATACCAATCGTAATTCGCCATATTTACCATCATGCTGGTTGGGCACAATTAGCAGATACCGAAATGAGAGGATGGAAACCTGTCGGCGTTGTTGGAGCTATCACGCCATGGAATTTTCCTTTAATGTTGTTGATCTGGAAGGTATGCAATAGTGGATTGGACCAATATACTTTCAAGTCAATGTCAACATATTTAAATTGAAGATTTGCTTTAATCTACAATTCTTCACGTATCCATAGGTTTGTCCGGCGCTAGCTATGGGAAATACTGTGGTTTTAAAACCTGCTACCTATACTCGATTATCTGCCCTTTTATTAGCTGAAGTATGTGCTGAAGCCGGGCTACCACCAGGGGTATTTAACGTAGTAACTGGTAATGGTGCATTTGGCCACAATCTTGCAACCCATCCAGATGTAGATAAAGTTGGCTTTACTGGTTCTACAGAAGTTAGTAGATATCTTCTCGTCACAATTATCGATGAAATGATTCTCTATAAAATGAATTTTTACTTTCCACATGATCACCCATTCTATTAGCAAGAGATACTTGAAAGTGATTGCTTACTAATTGGATTAGGTAGGGAGAATTTTACGTCAAGCAACTGCTGGAAGTGGCAAGAAGATATCGTTAGAATTAGGAGGAAAATCCCCATTCGTTGTTTTCGATTCGGCAGACCTTGATAGCGCTGTAGAAGGCGTTGTAGATGCGATATACTTTAATCAAGGCCAAGTTAGTTCTATAAATGTCCAGAAATGATAGGCATTATCCATTGTGCAATATATTAAGCTAGAACGGTTGCTGTTATTGGTAGCTCTTGTTGTATTAAACGAAATTTCGAAATGAGTACTGATTAATTATTTTTGGTAGGTTTGTAGTGCAGGATCCAGATTAATTGTACAAGAGTCTTGTGCCGAACTTCTGATAAAGAAGATCAAGGAAAGAATGACCCACTTACGTCTGGGTGATTCATTAGACAAGGCTATCGATATGGGGGCCATTGTGGATCCATCGCAGAGAAAAAGTGTTGACATGATGGTGCAAGAAGCCAAGGCGGATGGAGCTCATGTAAACTAGTGCATGTATTTTGATATAGTATTATACATTAGAGTACTATACTTTCGCACACCTAGTCTTAGAAAGTGTTTTAACTGAATAGGTTTATCAAGCCTGTGCATGTATGCCTTCAACCGGGTGCTATTATCCTCCTACTCTTATAACCAATGTACAAACAGTTTCAAAAATTGTCCAAGAAGAAGTAAGCATTGAATTTTTTACCAAATATGATCCTTTGTCAGTGGAAGCACTTACGCTATTCATAATGAATCCTCTGTTATAGGTTTTTGGCCCTGTACTTGTTGTCCTTACCTTTAGAACTCCAAAGGAGGCTATCGCATTATCAAACAATACTGTATTCGGCTTAGGCGCAAGTGTTTGGACGGAAAACTTGTCTTTAGCTTTAGAAGTAGCATTAAGTATCCGAGCTGGAAGCGTGTGGGTCAATGGTCACAATTTATTTGATGCCGCGGCTGGATTTGGTGGTATGCGTGAAAGTGGTTTTGGTAGAGATGGAGGCAAAGAGGTTATTGCTAACTTTCATTATTCAATTTAGCATATTTCGTACCCTCGTTATTACTTCACCTCTACTGTACTCGCACTTTATTCAATGTCATTTTCAGTGCAATAGAAAGTAGGCCAATATGCATGATGTGGTATTTAGTAGAATTTTGATCGATTAGCATGTTTCCAGATCAATTGGATCACCATTTCTGAAGAACAATATCCTTCAACCAAACAAACTGAATTCATTTTCGCTTTTAAATTAATTAAGCATTGTCCACTTGTATCTTGCTAGGGTCTTTACGAATATTCCGTGCCAGCATGGCTGACAAGGCCTCGTCCTGTGGCATTAAAAGATTTCGATGCAAAAGCTTTTGGTAAAAATGTTGCTCCAAGACCTCTAAATCCTAGCAATAGCGAAAGCCATGTTTACAATAACACAACCAAATTGAATGGGCAGGATGTACCCAGGTTATTTATCGCGGTGTTCTCTTTGTCAACCAGTGTTGCAATAGCCTCTTATTTATGTTATGGCAAACAGAAACTGTACGCAGAATTGATTTCATATTACTTCCATCTTTCTCAAAAATATTTAGCATTGACCGAACTTGCAAAATGTACATCGGAGGTGCTCAAAAGCGACCTGATGCTCCATACGCTCGAGCAGTGGTAAACCCTGATAACAAAACAATTGGTCAAGTTGGCGAAGGAAGTCGTAAAGATATCCGTGATGCTGTTGAAGCGGCTCATAAGGCTTTCCCTGGGTATAAACTATTTTACTACTAATAAACAATTGTAATATTAGATTACAATAATTGCAATACTTAAGTAAATAGCTTTCCAAGTTTCAATTTCTCTCTCAATTAATACACCGCTGTATCTATTTCAGATGGGGAAAACGAGCTGCTCATAATCGTGCCCAAATTGTATACTTTGTTGCTGAAAATCTGGAATTGCGACGTGAAGAAGTTGCTTCACGCATGTCAGAAATGACGGGAAAGAGTTTAGAAGATTCAAAGTTAGAAGTGGATTTGTCCATTCAACGATTATTCTACTGGGGAGCATATGCTGATAAATATGGTGGAACTGTGCAGGTAAAAATTTTAGATATTATTTTTACTTTATCTTTCTGCTAGGTTGTCAATTTATTTCTTGATTTTGTTTCCTGAAATATATTTTCATTAAATGCAATTTGATAATCATAACTATTAGGAAACCAATCTCTATGGAGCAACTGTTAAGGTACATGAACCCGTTGGTGTTATTGGTATTGCTTGTCCCGATAATTGGCCTCTTCTTGGATTTGTATCATTATTTGCACCGGCAGTTATTCGCGGTAACACCATAGTCATAGTTCCAAGTGAAAAATATCCATTGAGTGCAGTAGATTTGTATCAGGTAAAGAAAAGATTTGCTCAATTCTTCTGATCTGTAATTAAATTCGTGCAATGTAAAAGTACGTATGTGCTTCATTTTTGGTACAATTCACCTGTCATTGAATGTATGATATAATTTTATACGTTGTAAAGTCTTATTTCATTCCTGATCTGGGTCATACTAGGTTTTTGATACATCTGACTTGCCTGGTGGCGTTGTTAACATTGTCACTGGCAGCCGAGATCATTTAACCAAGTACTTGGTAGATCATCAAGATGTAGAAGCATTTTGGTATTTTGGATCAAATGAAGGAAGCAGATATGTCGAGCACGCTTCTGCTGTGAATATTAAACGTACTTGGGTAAATTACGGCTTTGAGCGGGATTGGGCAGACCCAGCACAAGGACAAGGAGAAGAATTTTTATATCACGCTGTTGAATGTAAAAATATTTGGATGCCCATGGGCGAAATTTTTGCTAACTAGATTTGGATATTAGTAAATTCAGTTGTTAAAACTGTTCGTTTCAATGGACTGCATCTTCGAACATTTACATCGGTTGAAATAGAAGCACTCTAGGTCTTGTTCGTCAAATTTCTGTCTGCAATTGATTAATAAATTAAGAAAGTAGTAATCTTAAAATTATTAATTGTTATTGGGTCAGCTTATACCGCATTAAAGATGCTGCTGGGGCATTTTCAGAGCTACCCTTCGGATACATTTTGATTCGATAAAGCTATACACTGAGATAGTTTACAATGCGGTCACAAAAGTTAATATTTCTATGGTGAAATCGTATCAATATCCGTAATCCTATGCAAAACAGGCTATGTTATCACAGTTTTAGTTACGATTACAATAAAAAATTCAATTTTGAAATCAGCTGACTTTACTATTATTTACATTGTTAGACGAAATTGTTATGCCATTCGCATAGTCAACGAAATTTTTAGCAATATATACTTGCCATTGCCCAAGTATCGATTTGGTTATTAATGGAATGAATCGATTAGCATACCAGATTAAATTTGGAAATAGGATAAATTTTATCATATACGTGGTATGTAATAAATAGTGTTATTTAAATCAGATATAGACTACGATCATGAAATTAGCCATCCAATGATTCCCAATGTTCAGCTATGATAAAGAGAAATTTTAAGTTTATTGTAGTTCTCAGATACTTAGCTCGATATTATTCTCCACAATCAGCAAAACTAGACAGAATTAATCTAGTGGCACTACCTACTGAGCTCATTTGGTAGGAGTAATAAATCACCCCAACTCAGAAGCTTTCACAGAAATTTTAACGATAAATTTACACTTCAGCTCCTAACTAATATAGCACTATTTACTGACATACGTATCTGATAGCTAATTCTAGATAGTCAATTTATAACATATTCATTCACGGAATCATTTATAGCGTAAGGCAAAAGCTACTAGCAGTTAAAATTACAATCACTACTGCAATCAATTCATCTTAATCATATAGCGTATTTGAATTGAAGCAAACTTTAAACTCATCAAATTTAGTAATCTACTATTCTTGGTATTTTGTGCAGTAGTAATGCGAAAATAGGATTACTCTTGTTAAGATCGCTAGCCCTAAAGAGAATCATAAAAAAATGCCATTCGTCATCGACAATTAGCTTTTCTTATTTATATCCTTGTTATATGGAAATATATTATCTACTATACTACGGTAAGAAAATTCATTTCTTTTTAAAAGTATCTACGTCTTTAGAACGATTATGAATAGGAAAATAATAAAAGAAAAATGACTGGAAGTGCCCGTTTGTTAAAGGGAGTTTTACAGGAAAATAATTTAATTTAACGCATCACAAAAATTATTAAACTAGATTCTGCTAATGTCCACTCTTAGAACGAAGTTTAATGCCAGTAAAAATATATTTTTAAAGCCAGTTAGAATACTGACAACAATAGCATGTATAAAACGTAGGCTATCAAGAAAGAAGGGATTGATTTGGAGGCAGTAAGGCTATCTCTAGATAACCCGCTGTAATCGGATAAAAACTAGATGTTATTCTTTATTGTGGCGTGCAAGCATCGACAATTATAAAGGACAGGAAAAGAATATCAGAAGTGTAAAAATACAGCGCATAAATAAATTAATCACAATTAATTGAGATTTAAATAGTAGAGTATATCTATGTCTACACACGCTATGCTATACTAAAGATAGAAATCTTGCTCCTAAAATTTTAGGCTCAACACTTGGTTATAATTGAAAGTCCGACAAGAAAGATCTATTACACAATCTACTCAATCACGCAATTTATTTATTTGGATATTTTCTCACGTTGGTATTTAAAGAATCACAGCAATAACGTGTATGTAGAATAACTTAATGGATAAATTATATAGTATATAGTTAATTTAAATTTGATCCTGCAATTGAAAAAGATTACGTTCCAAGAATAACAGCAGTAAAATAATAAAGCGTATGACAATTCGTACGGAAATTTTCCATTCCTAGCTGTAGGAAATATTGATAAATAGCTTTCTTTACGATAAAGATATGTATGTAGATAGTAACTTTTTGTACTAGTCTACATTGTAGATATTATCGAATGAAGGACTGCATTCAGTAAAAGCATCCATTGATTAGTTTACACAGATGATTTTAGCTGCTAAACTAATTAATTGATAAATATGAATATTAATTGTATAAAAACTTCTAACCTTAGGTCTTGTCTATGATATAACAATCAGCCTTTCTAGCAATGATAATAATATTAACTAACTTAATTACTTCTTACCATTGTTAAATATTTCCTAGAAATCCAAAGTTTCATGCAACCTAAGGAAGTGGATACAAAATTAATCCATTATGTTAACTATATTACCTATTTATCTGCAATTAAAATGATACAAAGGCTTAGAAGAAGGACATTAATCAATATCTAAATCTCTTACGAAAAGCTTTAAATTGCTGAAACTTAATCTTTTGATTGGATGTAATCATCTTACATTAACAGATTATGGCTATCAATATCTAGGTTTCATTCATTACAGTTAATGAACTTTTAAAAATATCTTAATGGTCTTCTTTAACAATTTATTCATGAATTATGCTAAGCCATTCCCAAAATGTCAAACTTTTATAACACCTAAGTATCTCTATTTAGCTTTGATATGAAAATATCAATTTCAATAGTCGTACATTGAAGTAATAATGTTAGTGTAATACTACACAGTGTACCATTGATAAATTACTATTGCCCTTACGTTTTAATTTCGGGAGAGCCAAATATAGCCATTCCAAAGTATAGTATCTATATACATGATATGAAGTAAATAATACCTAATATTAAATGATTTTATAGTAAAGTAATTATTTTTTCGGGTAGACTATCCTATAGATGTATACTTCCTGACGGTAATTACGCGGAAAAAAGTGCTATTTTGCTAAGATCAACATCAAACATGACATGACCTAATTCAGTTATTGCCTCTTAGAATGCAGTATACATCAATTAGAGGCGTTAAAAATAATAATTATAGAACTATGAAGATTAAATTTAACTTAGAAACGAAATTGTTTCCGAGTTAAGACAGCTTAGAGTCAAGTTTACTAATTTTAATCATTAATTACCTAACCCTTTTTCTCTTTTGTATTTTATTATCGTTAGACCAAACTAGTGCAATAAATTTTTCAGTACAAAGGTCACATACGTAATTACATACTATGAATTAGCGATCATAAGAGTAATGGGAAAAACCCTTAATCATTGGTTTTGTAAATTAAACCACTGAAATCTTAAAAAAGGTAAAGAAATTTTTTCCAATAAATTAAAGAATGGAATTTTATTACTATTATCCGCAAACTCAGATAATTAATAAACAACTTTGTGATTGTTAGTATACGATATGAATTGATTTATTAACAGCTTGCAGTGGATTCTATTCACAATATCATAATAGTAATTAAACGAAAATCAATTGTAAAAATTACAGATTTTCTTACTGACTATTAACAATGAGCAATTTATAAGATTACTCGAAATAGGCATACGTATAGAGCATCTCGAGAGATTTTATATTGTAGCTTCAACTTATATGGTACTTCATTCTTTAGCTTAGGACAGAATTAGTATTACTCTAAACTGCCAGATTATTAAATTTAATAAGAGTAGTCTTGTGCATTATCACCTTGATAAGGTTGTGATAATGAAAAGAATATCCTTAAAGTAATAATATTTTATTGATTTAGAATTCAGGTTACTTTATTATTATAGATTGCCATAGCACCAAATGTAATCATTAAGAAAGTAAAATATTTAGAAAGTAAGTGAAAGCTTTTAAGTATTCTACTATATTATAGATAATGGATTACTATAACGGAAAATATAAAAATGAAAGCATATTCTTATAATCTATTATATAATAATAAAGAATTAGATTTTATTTATTTATACTATGCAGCCGGTTGTAATATGAACTTATTAACGGAAAAGACAATTATAAGCTATAAAACTAATTCATTATACTTTTAATCAGAAACGTCATAAAAATATTGATATTGTGAGCTTTGATTTCAGCAAGTATTATTATTATATAGGAATTAAAGAAGTTACATATATAATACACCAAAATACTACTCTAATATGCGATAATTTTAGTTATGGTGGGTCATAGTAACGGAAATTGTAAGAAATTGTCTTACTATAGTAAAAATAGTTAGCGTAGAAATATATTCTCATATATGCGGCGATAATTTTTCGGGTTTATTAAATAGTACGAGTTTAATACATGCATATATAATAAAATTTGTTCAGAAACCACGGACTTTACATCTGTATCCAGAATTTCGATTTATGATTCCATAAAGTATGATTTTCTTGCGTTTACTCATTACAAGATCAATGCTCGATACTTACAAGAGCAAATATGATACTCAATAATTGAGGAATAGTGCCTGTAATAGAAATAGTCCATGAGCATATTACTTTCACAAAAAAAGAAAAACAAACAAGAACCAAGGGAAAATTATCTATCTTGTATGTATATTATAAGTTAATGGACAAATTAAATAAAATTGAAAGAAAACCTATCTCCGGATCGAATTAAAAACGCGAATGTGTTATTTTCTATAGGTTTAGTATTTAGAAGAAACAATATTGATAATCAATTGCTATAATAGTGCATAGAAAATTAGACGTCACGCAACGATCATGATTTACTAATGTTAGTAACTATATCAAGTATAGTTTTAAAGGCAAATGATAGTAGCCTTAACATTATAAAGGCGTAACATCATATGTAATTCACTTTTATTACATACTTAAGCATCATTTAATTAATCGTCGTAAAGCTAAGAAGTAAAGAAAATATTTACGGATATAATTCATAGTCATTTCAGAATATGATATTGGATCATCACGATGTGCCTTAATAAACCTAAAATATCACAAATAACAATTTGTCATCTACAAGAATTTAAAGTTTAATTTCTATTATAAAAATAGTAGATTATAAATTTGAGGTGTGGTAAAATGGTTTCCTGATTACTTTTAACTATGTTACCAATAAACATTTCATAACAAATCATCGAGCATAACATCTTGCTTCGGAATCGTCAGCTTATGAAGAATTATCCAATTTAGACATAGTATTTCGATATGACAGTCATTTATATATTATCTTCAGTCCATGTTTAAATAACTTTAACTGACTGACATTCTTTATATTAACAGTTTATCAGTCATAATGTCTCAATTAAGAGGCTAAATTAGCGGTAGTTTTAGAAATGATAATTATCTATCTTGAATTATTGAACAATTAATAAGCGTACACAAACAAAGATAGCTGGATCGGCCGATAATGGCTTCGGTGAAAGAACATCAATAAAGAAACCGGAAGATAGTATTTTTTGGAACTGGTAGTCTATGAATCAGTTCTATCTGAACTTACATTTATCACAATTTGATAAAGACAAAGTAATTAGATGATTGTATTTTACTCTAGTTTTTCTGAGGAATTTTATTTATACCCTCTTAGCGTTGTTGGATTGAGTCGTTTAATCTTAAATGTAGTTGATAATTTTAATTGAAGAATATTACCGAATCATATTTCAATTAATTTGATGATAGAAATAGTGCTAGAGATCATATTCAAGAGCTTGGTAATTCAAATCGTTTATTTCCGTAAAAGTAATCAGCTCTACCATTTGATAAAATGTTAATGAGTTGTAGTACCTTTGTGCTTCGTGATTTAGTTCCAGCTTTTTATTATTTCCTTTAAGGTATCTAGAGCATCCGATCATGCCAGCTGATAAAATTGATAATTGAGTATAATATCATAAGATTCGGATTGCATACTGATCTGTTTCAAAATTATGCTACCATATCTAGCAAAAGTAAACTATCCCGTCATACGGTCACTAATGCAAAATAAATAGAAGAAAATTACAACTAGAGACTCCTTAACATCGTAAATTGTTTAATTCCCTCGATCCTAGTTATGGCAATGTATAATCTTTTAGGTTATACAATAAAGATTTACATAATGTTTTGATGGAAGTTAAAAAAGCCACAGTTGATAGATAATAGTGAAGGGCGATTGAAATTTTTTGTAATTAAGTTACTTGAGTAAAATAAAGTATCAAGGCTTAAGAACAGTAAAGAAGATGAATACACATATGAGTTAACTTTAAATTAAGTTGACTATTTTAATATATCCACATAAATCAACTGCAATCTACGTATTGCAAGAGTAGCCGCTATACCCGTAAAATGCATCAAATCAATATCAAAGATTTATTTTCCAGACGGGCATATTACAAGCATTAATCAGCCATTTATGAATTAATAATAACGTCATCTTACCCATAATTAATCATTGACAGCTGTAATTTACATTTGAGTTGGCCAATGAAATAAAGAGTGTAATTCGTTGTTAATACGGTAATTAAACCTATTTGCTAGGTAATTTTCATGCTTTAAAACTATGTGATGTAGCAATTATACTTAGTAAGATTCTATGCAACAGAAGCTCTAACTTTGGAATCTGAAAAATCTATAGTACCCTGTACCGCTTCCGATATTAAAGCCTAGCGGTAAAAAGAGGACTTAGTAGAAGATCACAAGAGTCTTCTATCGTATAATTCTGCAGTGCTTGCAGCCCGAGTGTAATTTCAGTTATAATTTAAAATTTTTCACGAACGACCTGCATGTTATGACCTAGTAAACCATACACTATAGTAAGTATAATTTAGTCAAGGTAATAGTTATTAACTCTTATATTTGTGTCCTTACTGGCGAGTTAATTAATAATTATTTAATTAAAATTTTCGCGTAACTACGTTGACACAGTAACCAATGTAATTGAAAAAAATATAAAATATATAATTTATATATATGTAAATTTGGCATAATTTAAACGACTTAATACTAGATCGATATAGATAAAAATTTTTGCTTGATTACGTCGATATGGTAGCCAACGTAATTAAGAAAACGCGAAATTTATAATTAATGCAGACGGAAATTTTGCATGATTTAAACAACTTGATGTTAGACCGATATAGATGTAAAGAATTTCACAACGTCTAAATCATTTTGTTGTTTTGATATAATAAAAGTTATCACGTAATATGTTTTAATTAATTTATATATTAGATAAGGAATGAGATTCGATATTAATTGATTTCAACCCGTTTAAATTAAGATAACCATCTATTTTTCCTTTCTGATCTTTAAATATTTTAAAGTAGACAATATGATCATTTCCTAGTCTCTTCGGAAGGCGATCAATATTTTGATTGGGTAATAATCATGGTAAATAATGGATAAGAAATCATTATTAGAAATGCCTGCTAATAGAGACAAGCTCAAATTCTTTCCGAGATGTGTTTCGGCACATAAGGCTATCAACTTATTAGATATAGCGAAATTTGCTACTGTTTCACTTTTAAAATCTTTGCGTAAATTTTTTACAAATAGATTGTATTACCAGAAGCAATTGATGTATCTAATCACAACCTGAAGGAAGGCATGTTATTTCTTAGGAAGCACGTTTTATATTTTATTGTATTATTAATGAGATTGAAAATGAAAGAATTGTACGATAAGATATAAATGCTAAATGAAGTATAACAGAAATTTCTAATAAAGACATATTTAATAATTAGAGAATAGATAAATATACTTACATGGATGACGATTGAACGCTTACGGGCTGAAATAAATTAATTTCGATTTTTAAAATATCATCTTGCTATTGCAATTGTCTAATATTCTTCGCTCTAATGGCCGATTCTATACACATATTAGACTTAGTAATTACACATTATATGTATAGCTAACACCAAAGATTTGATAATACTGAAGTAATAGCAAATGGAGTCTATGAAGCGGATAATGTAGCAGAATTATTTCAAAGCTATAATCTTACGATACTATTTGCAGAAAAAATTAAGATAAACAATAGCAGTTCAGTATTTTAATAGAATCATTTAGAAGAAAAAAGAGAAATTTATCTATGGTAATATTTTACGTTGATTTAACCAGGCAACGATAAGTATCTTGGATATCGTTTCAAAGCTATAAATTAATATATTTAATTAAACACATGTCATGGATACCTTATTATAAGATAATTATATTTCTGTTGGACTAATAATGATTTAAGCTATTTATTAGTCTCTCTCAAGTATAACAATTCGAGTATACATATAAAAAATCTTAAAACGTGGGAATATAAGACGTTGAAATTTATGCAAGTATTGAGAAAAAGTTGAAAGATGAAATTAAAACGCAGATTCAAGATAACTAGCCTAGCTTACGCCATTGTTATGATTAACTGTAGCGAAGTATAAGCGAGGATAAAAATGATATTAACATTCCATTAATTTAAGTCTTGAAAGGTTATATCTAGTCTACGCCTATCTTTGCGCTAAGCATTTGTAGATAGTCGATAAATTACAGTAGTTATTGTCGCGTTTAAAATGATGCCATCAAGAAGATTGATTCTTAAAATTGGCATTTATTCCATTTATATTTTATAGAGGGAAATAGACGTTGCATAGCTGTCGAAAGAAGATGATAGCACCTTACATTATAGGTAGTTTCAAAGCTATCGAGGTATCTTCTATTCACTGATTTAAGAATAGTGGATTGAAATATGACATTTCGGCTGCGTTATTGAATGAATCTCTATAAAAAGTAGACAAAAACCCTGCAAACTATTCATAGCCATTGCTTAACAATGAAACAGATTATAGCATTAAAAAAAGTAGCTGTTGAAATCTACTGTAACCAAAATTGGCCGTTAAATATGCAATCAACAAGCTGCGATTGGAAGTGCATGATTCGGCGATAGTGTTAATTGTGTCAGCCAGCTCTAGCTTAAATCTGTTGCCCAAATTTCAGCAGAGCCAGGAGATTGCATATATTGCTATATTAACGAACATAAAATGGCTATCTTTTATTGCGAGTGCATTCAGATATATTGACGTAATAGAGCTAGCCATAACCATTTTCAACTACTATATTAAATGAGTACTTGTCATTCTAGTTGTACTTGCTGATTGTAATAAAGGTTTCTTTCGTGAAATTCGTAAAAACTCTGCTATTTCTTTTCGTAGATCTTGACTAAAAAGGATAAATATAAATGGATTATAGGCGGGATAGGAGAAAGCAAGTTCACGCAAACCATACGATGAAGCTTTTAAAGCATTCATTAAAACTCCTAAATGTTTCTTCCGTATCTCCCATGGCAAGTCGCCTAATGAAAACGCAATGAATAAGCAGACGAAGTAGGGTACGGTAAATATCAGAAATACCACAGAGGTAACAATTAAAGGTCGTGCCGCCCTAAATTTTTTAATAATTCGTTGTCTTCCCCTTTTTAGTTCTTCCATGGATTTGCTTTGCTGATAATCAATATTTCTAACATGTCGCAATGCAACTACAAAAAGATAACCATGACATAGAATTATGACTGAATAGGGCAGAATAATGCATAAGCTATAAAATACGTAATGATAATTAGCTTCTTCTGATATTGATCCCGTTAAATATGTAACATTGCTCTTTCGTCGTAAAGGACTGATGATTGGATAAAATGACACAAATAAGGAAATTAGCCAGACCAAGGTTAAATTAAGGCCTACAATACTTGGTCTAACGAAACTCTTGTACTGGAATGGAAAAGCGATAATAACCACTTTATCCACTGCATCGGATGCTAAATGGAAACAGAATGAAGCCAGTAAGAAATTGCGCAATGGCTTTTGAATTATTTTTAGGACAGAGGTTGGTGGAGATGAAGAAATCCAAGGATAAGGTAGGCAGTAAAGCAATGCTAAAATGATGGAAGTAAAACACATACTACATAATCGGATGTGAGGAATTTTCCATAATGTCCTTCGTGTTATAATAATGTAAGCTAGTGGAGCATTGATAGTTAATGCGATGATGCCAGTGATTCCATTATAAATGGCCGCAATAGTTATACTTAGCATCACGCCATTGCCATTAGCATTTCTTGTTGTATTGATTGGCAATGAAGACAAAGTTGTGTTGATACTCATGCTGATTTGTTATTGGATATTCAATTGTATTGAATATTAGAAAATGAATCGATTCAGCTAGCCAGTAATACCAGTCGATGCAATACTAATTTATTAACCAGACACTCAGGTCGATTGCTGGAGTATTTTATCGATTTAGAATAACCTCAACATAAATATTGATGTAGAATTCTAATAGAATTTCTTCCTCCACCATGCGCTATTTTGCTGTTGAAGATCAATTTTTAGACCTACTATCTAGATTGATTTCGACTTGGACTTTTGTGATCTCCAATTTTTTTTCTACAACTTGAATGGCTAGTATAAGCAAGCGAAGAGCAAATAAATGACCGATCACAAACTTATTATCTATAGCTGAAAAAGATGCAAGACAAGCTGACTGCTAGACGTTGCTTTGAGGAATGATTTATTCAACAACTCGTGGGATATATATATAGCTACTCAAAATGAGATGGATCACAAGTTTTACTTTATAGAAATAGACAAGCATACAAATGCATTGAATGGATAAAACGATAATAAATTCATGCTTTCAAGAGATAATTTCAATTTATATTATTGATGATATTTTCTTGATTTTGTTTTGTAAGCGTCTTATATCAACAAAGGTAATATTGTTTCCAATTTCTCAAAATCCTTAACGTCGATAAAATAACAACTATCAAAAGAAAAAATACAAGCTGGCTGTATACCGTAATTTGTTTTTAGTTACTGTAATGCCACAATTCTATTTGTTTTATTACATATGCAATTTTCCTTGGCTGTAACACCCCCACATTGTGAAAATCAGCGTACTTCTTTTCACCCCGTCAATATTATTCTTCTATCGTTTCAAATCATCCATCACCTTAATTAATCTATTCTATAACGTCCTACGTTGACACTATTATAATATACAGAAAGAAACGATCAAGAAAACGCAACTCCTATTGAGTGATGGCAAACAAAAAGAATAAGAAATGGAATAATAAATGGATGGCACAATATCCATCTAGAAGAATGGATTGGATATTTCCATACACCGATAGCCGCTGACGGGGGGGGGGGAAATAGCGGCCATAAATAATTGAATCAAGAACAACTAATCGGTTTGTCTCATAAATTATCAATCGTTTTGAGTGAGGTTCCTAGTGATGTTGATATCTATCGGTATAAAAAGTAGGATAGCTCTAATGCATTAATACAGAGAAACATCATAAAACATCTAGACTTATTTAAACATCGCACCTGTACTTTAAATTAACAATTTAACTGTCGTAAGAGGAAATGCCTACTTTTGCAAGGGAAAGAAGACTTGTAATAGTCACGAATAATATCCATCGTCGAGGCTGATACCGATATCAACAGAGAATGAAAGAAAATAGTGAAAGAAAATAGAAAAGCTGAGATACTACTAAAATGATCTCTAGCTATAGCCATGTTGATTATAGTCTGGATAGTTACATTTTGCTTCCATTAAAATTGTATTTTCTCTAGCGTACATTAATTCAACAGAATAGAAGCCTTATCCAGATAGGATAACAAATTATCTAGAGCCAATCTTATTCAATAGGCTCTATTAAATTATTGTATCAAATCCAATAGCTTCCAATTGTGACTCCATATTCTTTAAATGGGATCAAATAGATCAAAGGCAATAACAGAGAATGTCGATGTGATAATTAATAAATCAAATGGTCTATTTCACGCATAGATTGGCCTTAAGAATTTGTGTGCTCAGTTCATTTGTGATTAGGCCGTAAAATTGACTTTGTTGATTATTATTGTTGCCGGTTGCTACTTAAAGTTCGCTTGTGTTTATTCATGTTACTTGGTTGCTTTGAGTTATATGTTATTCAGTTGATAATTGCAAGTCGGAAGTTTTACAATTCCTTTTGCTTTCTACTTTAATTTTGGTTAGTACAGCATATCTTTTCAATAAACTGAGCCTATTAAGTTACCCTAAATTCAACCATTGCGATACAGTATAGCATAAGTTTTTAGTTATAAATTTACTTTATTATTTTTTGTCTTTCTAACATCAATACAACTCCGCTATGATATACAATAAATAGAAAGACCAAGGCTTTCGCTCATATGTTCGCACAAGTATATATCAATAAATAGATTATTAACAACCGATATTGGAAAACATTGACTCGTTGATATGATTTTATAAAATCAATTATGTTACGCTTTATTTTACTTGCTCTATTTTTAATTAAAACCGCACGAATAGTTATTGATATTAATTCCTGATAAACTTATTGATGAAGTTATTGCTGATTACTTTTCTTATTTTTATATTCTACAAACTCAGATACGGAATAGGTTTCATGGGTTTTTAATGACCTATAGTTTATTTACACTTTACTAGCTTAACGTTCAAGATAAATCGGATTATATCCTTGATACTATATTTTCCACGTATTAGTAATATCACATTTAGAATCTTCTGCCTTATTCTACATTAAATTAAGCGTATCAATAATCACTAAAATTTCAAAAGTGATAAAAGCCTCTAATCAAATAGATGGCTAAAAAATAGAACTATCAAAGCAAGCAGAGTGGAATTATAAGCTTAATTATTTCACACCATGGATATTTTATTATTTCTGGCCTTAAAAATGCATAAAATGGGGGTTAATTTACCATGAAATAGATTACAAATTCAAATAGTCTAACCAGCATATTTTAATTTATTCCATTCTAGTGGTTATCAAGTCAAACTGTAAAGCAATACGTTCTCATTTAGTCTATTCAGATTGATATATGAAATAGTCATCGATTTTAGCCGACAGTTTATTTTAACTGTTTTTCTACATTTCTTCCTCGAAAAATAACTACTAAACTAACTGCAGTTTAGTCAATTTCAGAAGATTGATATTTCTATCTCAAATCGTTTAAGCTGTTTAAGCTGTTTATTGCAATCTATCCCATTTTAGCTGCTATTAAGTCATGCTGTAAATCAATATTTCTCTTTAAGTCTAATATAATTAACATATGAACCAGCTTTCAATTTCACGCCGAAAGTTTATTTCAAGCATTATTTCTGCTTTCCTTTTATGAAAATGACCACTCAAGTAACTGAAGGTCAATCAATTTCTATAAAAATTATTCAATTTGTTCCGATATCAGTATAAGAATTTCAACTTTATTTATTGTTTCCGTTAATTACTGCCGTAGTTGTTATCAAATTAATCAATAAATTAAATCCTGTTTAGGTATGTAGCAATCATTTATCAGTATAAAGTAAACTAAATATCGATGCTAAACAAATCGATGTCAATATATATTCAGCTTGCTGATCATTTTGATTCAATGTCATTAATAATTTAGCATCTGCTGATTCTAAAGCCTGATACTCCATCATTTTAGCCTTCCATTATTGTAATAACTCTACTTGTAAAGTATTGTCAACCCTATTCAATTATCCATTCGTTTATATTTATTTTAATCTAAATTCGGTAAATATGCAACTATCCTGTAGCGATCTTAGTATTTGTTGTTAAAATTTTTTTACTCTTCCGGTGTTAGTTAAAGGTACTGTAGCTTACGCTTATCGCAAATCCATCCATCATAGCAAGATCTTGTTCTGTAGAGGAAGAATATAGATCAACTTTGTATTTTTTGAACTCGTATTCAAGAGTAAAAGCCCCCTGTTCAATTTATTTCTGATAAAATAGATGGAAAAACCGGATTGATCATTCGAAGATGTAATTCCAATCTTTTAAAATAGGGCTTTCCTTTTAACTTAAAGATATAATTCAAAATTAGCTGGAATAAAAGATAATCTATCATTGCTACCGGTATTGTAAGATATCGATTTTTCTTTTTGATGGTAATTGCGATCCAGTATTATTGTCAGATAATACGTCAACGTCCAGTGTAAATTCAATCTATTAGTATCTGGCCATTAAAAATTGAGATATAATAGTCAATGTGTTGAATCTGCGTCAAATTGTTATTATAATTAGCTATTGATATTCATGATAGAACAATATTGATGTAAGAATGCCCTGCCTTTCTCCTATATAATCGTACTAGCTACGAAAACAGATAATAGTCTATTCAAATAATATCCAGGAAGCATGGAGAAGATTGAAAGTTATTAAGACCTGTATTAACTCTCAAGATAGTCTAGGATGGCTTTGTGACTTTAGGTCAACTTGATAACGAGAAAGGTGGGAAAAATAAGTCCATGAGGATAGCCACTAGCCACTGTTATCATCACTTTCCAATTATTATATATATATATTCCGACATTGGCCGTAATATATATATATATAACAAATTAATAAACAACGTCGATATCACCATGACAATAACTGGCTAAGTATGCAAAATTCAAGAAATGATCTTTGCATTTCTTTTGGCTACGAACAGCTTGTAACAATCTTGGCATGAAGTAGCTCTATTGAGAATTGAAATTTCTATTCCTACACTATAGAAATCGTAATTAGATATTGAAAAGCCAACCAATTTATGCCCCCCAAATAATGCAAAATATTGCCTAATATCATTGTGAATGAGTAAAATTTAACCCTTGGATGACAGCTGAAAGGATCAATAACTCACGTTACTAGGGCCATAGAAATCAATCTATGCAAAAAATTATTCAACACTTCTGATCTGTTCTATAATCATCTCTGACATCTTGTCAATAGATGCAAAATATCGTATAGTGTGCATAAGTAAAAAGTGTTACGGAATAAATAACTTATTCTCAGAGTTGTAGACAATCTAATTTTTCAATAGATAAAAAGCGATTCAACATATAGAATCGAGTAGAAAAATGACTTCTGAAATCCTTTACTATATTATCATCTGCTTGGACTTCCAGGTAGACAAGAATAGATTGATTCGTGAGTCATATTCTTAATTTTAAAAAATGGATTCAGTATTAAAATAATTGACTTACGAGCGCTGTTTGGGTGTCCAAATTGACCTTGATATCATTTATAAGGGTTTTAAAATACCGAAAGTCTTAGTACAGAATAATTAATTAAGCAATTTATATC